AAACCGTTAAACATAGAGTGCACCTCTTGTGGCTGCTGCAGTCTTGAATCATTAAAAGTCTGACAGGACTTGTACTTGAGAAAGGTGTGAAATCCATCATCAACTCCAATTTGTTTATAAAATCCATCATCAGCTCCAATTAGTTATGAGTACCCAAGTATTTATGATGCTGACCCTTTTCATTTCGTGATCAAATGAAATGGATTTTGTTCAATATATTTTATTTTTGAACGAATGATTAGGTTTTTACAAATCTTTCTTAAAGCATATGGCACTTTGGTTTATTATATTTTGTGACGTCAACGGTAAGTTTTCTGTCTTAAGCTGTTTATATACTATTGGTTTCCTTCAATTACTCATCTCCATTATGGAATTCAAGTCATACATAATATCAATTAGTTATGTGCCAGGGCAGCCTTCTAGGTCTGGTGGTATGTTTTGTGCTGATTAATTGTCACTCTCTAGATATGTATATGTATAGAAAGGAATTTTTTAACATGAAAAAGGATAAAAGTGTAATGGTTTGGATGGTTTTCTTTTCTGATTTGAACTGCCAGACACTCCTGCAAATTCTAAAGGAAGATGGCACAGGTAAGGAATATCCTTTGGGAGCTGCCCTTGAGGCCATAAGAAATACTTTGATTCAAGGCAATACAAAACTCTTATAGGTAGATCATTTTGATTCCACTCTCATACATACATACCATGTGTATTATTAATTAGTTGACATTGATATTGTACAACTGACATGATTATTGTGTATGATTTCCATGTTATTCTTCATTAAGTGCTGGGATTCATATTTAAGCTAATAGACATGATCATTGGTTGGATACATAAAGGGTTTCAAAGCTTCTTATGACAGCTTAATGATGAGTTACTTAAAAAAGAAGGTGCCCTTTATATTAATGTAGTATTAGGTTATATACTTAAGGAAAACCTCTTAATAACAATGTACAATCAGATCCCTTTAATATCAACGTATTATATTTTTTATATATGGTATTTTCTTTTTTGTGTATGGTATTTTATTTCCTATTATGAGACATGAAATGCAAATTTAATTTGAAAATTAGTAAATCTATAAATCATTTTTTTTTAAAATTAAAATTACGATACGCAAAAATGTGTGTCGTCTTCATTTATGACATGGCCTTTCTTGACAGGGGCTTCCTTGATACGCATTGCGTGTCATAA